AATATATGCATAGAAGAAAAAAAGACATATGCCAAATATTAGCATTGCCTATGTTTAGATATTTATACTATGAATATTTTAATTTCTTCACCTTTATCTAGATTTTCTAAATTTTCTGTAAGTTGTTAGATTTACAGGAAAAAACAATTAAGATTTTTTTGTGTCTATTATTTTAAGATATAAGTAGATTACAGCAGTGGTTTACCAGCCCTGAATGTGAGTTCATTTAAATCATATCAAGAAAATATTTATAATCTGTTTCTGGAGAAGTGATTTATTATTTTTTAGATATGATTTACATGATTCTTACTGAATATATAATTTATATGCCTTTTCTTTTGCTTGTAATGGAAGGAATTGATAATATATGAGAGTACATCCTTTCTTTTTTTAAGAGGTAACTTTTACAACCTAAAACAATTTGGGATGCTCCAGGGTCCTGTGTTCAAGTGCTTAATTTTAAAGATAAGAAGACTGAGATCCAGGAATAGAATTGTAATTAAATTGCGGTATACCTTACGCCACAAGTAATTACACACACACACACACACACACCATAAATGATACTGCTCTTACTAAGGGCTTACCATCTTCTCTAATGAAAAGATCTTCTTTTCAAACAAATAGAGAGGTGTAAAGGTAGCATATACAATCATGTGAGGAGACTGTGCTGCTGACGAACCTGTAAAAATAAACATATTGGGTCATGGAAGTTCTAGCTAAAATGGGTCTGATAGAGATCACTGCAGACTGTTCGAATTTGTTAATGAATGTGTCTTGCTGGTAAGAAATAGATAAATGACACTACATATATTTAATAAATGTTAAATTGCAAATGTGCATTTTTTAACATAATGTTTAACTTCATAATATCATTTAATTGTTTAAGAAATCATAGTATGTCACTGTAAAAAAATTATTACAGAAACTCATGCTAGCTATCAGTCAATGTAACTTAGAAGGTCTACAAAGTAATTATGCTCAAAAGCCTTGATTTTAAAATTAAGACATTTCTTGGCTCTCATAGGTGGAATCTTTATTTTGAATTTAAGGAAGAACAGGGATTAAGATAAATTAAGATGTGAAATATGCCAAACTTATAGAAACATATTTTTACATTTAAAAATTAAACCACATATTTTTCATACTTTGCATATTTCTCATAGAGCAAAGATCTGAATCCAGGCACCTTTACTCCACAGCCCAAACTCTACACCACATTCTATATTGTGAGATTGACTTTAACAATAATTTTCTAGAAAACAGGCATCATTAGTTTATTTCCACAAAGAAACTCAGAGAAAAGTTTAGTCATTTTTGCACAGATGATGAATTATCAGTAATTCTGGAAATGTTATGGCATGCATCAAAAAAGATTACTGAAGGCATCAATACAAGAAAACAAACAATATAGAATTAAAAATCCAATGACTAACAATTCTTCTCTCTACCAAACCACCAGACATGTTTCTATAAAAGTAAAAAGCCATAATTATTAAAATTATACAAAGTCACACACAAAATAATAATGTACTAAGAAAGAAGACAAGATGAAAAAAACCCTAGAGATAAATGGATGTTTCCAACCATGAAATAAAGGATGAGCTAATTATAACCTACCTTCTGGAAGCACCAAGATAGATGACCCAGTGTTAGGTCTATAAGGTTTTTTAAAAAGGTTATATATTTATACAAAATTTATTTATACAGACAGGAGAACAAATACTAATATAAATACTATACACAAACACTAATATATAGTAATATGTATGTACATTACATATAATACACAACATATATTTTATGTAATATATTTTACATATTATATTGTACCAGATATAGCATGTAACATATATACATCAATTATCGTATGTCCTCCTCCATGTAAACACTTCTTCTATGACTGCTATACCGTAAGAACTTGGACAAGCTTGACTCCTGTCTTATATGTGGGACCTGCCCCAATATTCACACCCATCTGAGGGCCTAACAATTATGGGCAGCCTTGAACAAGCTTATTTAGATACGTCTAAACAGGAAATACATTTCTATGCTCGGAAGTTTCCCAATATTTTAAGAAACTAAAATACTTATTATTCTAGAAAACTGAGAGCCTACAGTCTGATAGCGACTGCAGGGAGTATTGTACATCTGATGAGGGTCTTGAACTGTGAAGTGACCATTTTAATTTTTCCATTTCCTTTTCTCTATCTTTACTCCTTTTCTTCCCAAGGTCTTTTGCATCTGATTTCTCTAACATATTAAAAAATAAATAATAATTTTTTAACTACAAAACCTCAAACCATATTGCTTATTCAGTCATTGTATTGAAAAGTAGGCCAAAACAATTGTATTTTTTAAATGTAAAACAACAGTCACCAATTTCCCCAAACAGTACTTACCTCTAATTAGAAACATCAAAATAAAGCAAGAGAAAACTTGAAAATTGACAGACATTGTGAAAGACCTTCAGAATTATTATTGACTCTACATAATTTTATGGTGAATGGAGACGATCATTTGAATAGTTTATGTAAAATTATAGTGTCATGCTAATTTTATCATTTAAAAACAAAGAACAGCAAAAAATGTCCTTAAGTCCTACATGCAAAATGGTCTCACAGCTTCCTTATTTAGGGCCTTTATCTCAAGGAATTGACTTTCTCTCTCCAAAATATCTTCTGGTGGACCCTGGGTTCCAACCAACATCCACAAACCAGTGTCTTATTGCCAACATGACTTGCATAATAAAACCTTGTACCCAGAACTACCCACACCATTTGAGTTTCCATTATTATTTACATTTATATGAAATGTGTTCTTCAACTTCAATAAGAAAAAAATAATCCCCCCAAATAAAGAAGTACAAACTTACAATTGTAACATAAATTAGTCATGCAAATGAAAGTACAGCATAAGGGATATAATCATTAATACTGTAGTATCTTTGTATGGTGTGTGTGTTGACAGATGGTCACTACACGGATTGTGATGAGAATTTAATAATGAATATAATTTTGAATCACTATGTTGTACACCTGAAACTAATATAATACTATGCATCAACTGTATTTCAAGCTTCTTTCATAAACTAATGTACATTAGGTCATTTTAAGAAGTGCCTATGATAGGCAGATATCACTCACACTTGATCTTGGTCTATTTTTGAGAGATATGTACAGTAATAAGTTTTATACTGTGGTAAGTGCTCACAGATAAGATCTTGATAAGGAATAATTTGGACAAAATATCAATGTTTTATAAAACAAATATTTGAAAGATCATTAAGATGCTAGCAAGGAATATTAAAAAACTGAGTATTTTCTGGTATACTTAATTTTATTTTACTATAAAAACATTGTTCATATGCATAGCAATATGAAATATTTTGGAAATTATAAAATAAATACTCTTTCTACTAAAGAAGAAAAATGGCCATACACTTTGTAAAATAACTTGAAATTGTTTTATTTTCAAATTTGAAATTCCACCTACAACAAATGGTCAGCAAATCATAATCTAATCTGTGTCCGTGTAATGTTTCCTGGAAAAAAAACAACCAAAAAACAAAAACAGGACAATTTTTCTCCCTTGCTGTTTTGGTCCATTCTGCTCTCCATATAACTTAAAGAAAGGTTGTGCTTGATGGCAATTGAAAACTTAATGTCTCCTCCTATATTAATACTATATTAATACTATATTAATTTAGTGTCATCAAAATAAATAACTACCTTTGATTTTTAAACAAAGCAAAATATGGAACAATAATTAACATAGAAAACACCATTACAAGTTCAAAGATCCTAGAAAGGAAAGATCTTAATTATTTTGACAATGCTTAATAAATGATAATGGCAGTAAAGAATCATTAACTTCAGCAATGATTGGAAAGCATTTATATATAATAACCATATTGGATAACATTGTGATATAAAAGGTCTTACCCTTTGGAACTTTATCACTTTTCTCAGATAATTTCAGTGCTGTTGCTGAATCTTCAGGTTTGAATTCTTTGCCATCTTTCACTTCTTTCCTGGGTTCTTTTAATTTGTTGTCTATCACAGCTACCTTGCTTTCAGAGTTGGATTCATCTGACAGTTTAAATTCGGGTAATATCTCTTTCAAGAGCTCCCAAACTTTGTCCATATATCCTGGGCTTGGATAAAACACATCAACATTAATTCCCAAATTAGCTTTATATTCCACGTCAAGAAATTACTGACATAAAAAATCACAAGACCATTTTCAATGGTTACTTCAAATTTTAGTTAAAACACTATGATGCATTCATTCAATCAACAAGCTTTGACTGAGTGCCTACTGTGTTCTGGGCATGGCTGATACAGAGACTAAGGGCAGAATTCCATTCAAGACGGCAATGTGGGGGGATCCTGAACTCACTCATTCCCTCAGACACACCACCGAATCTGTAGCTATATATGAAACAATTTCCTCTGGAAAAAAGAACAAGAACTAGCTGAGCAAATCCTACACATCTGATGAATGAGAAAAAACCCACATGGCTGTGGGTAGAAGAGGTTGAGACACAATCTAGCCATCAAACCCATTCCCAGCATAGTGAATCACACTGGGAGGGACTCAGCCCTGAGCTTCTCCTTGAGGAACAGAGTATTGGAAATCCACATCTGCCACCCCAACTTTTAAAACCTATACCTGAAAGATGAACCACCAAAACATCCAGCTTTGAAAGCCCCCAAGGCTTACCCACAATCCCCATGAGGCTATAGCGAGCTCAGAAACAGCTTAAAGGGTTGGTGTGGACTCAGCCGTCCCAGGACCACAGCACAGACACAGCAGTGAGAAAAGCACCCACAGTCCTCCTGTGAAAGAGCTCTGTGAGCTTCTCTTTACAGCTGTGGCTGCAGGGGCAGACTTCTAATTAAACACACATCTAGGGGCTCACTATGATCCCCCACGGTGGGTGCATTTTTGTTTTCTCCCTCATTGGTGTCTCTGAGAATGCAGCTTGTGTACATGTCTTGTGCCCCAGCTTTGCTGCCTGCCTCCCAGAGAACATCTGCCTTGACAGCACGGCTCTGGGGACCAGTGGGATTCATATCCATGGGTTCAAGAGGATGGCAGCAAAGAAAGACTCAGTTCTTAAGCACAGAGGGAGCTGACAGAAATTTCCATCTCCCTCTTCCCCTGAAAAGAGGTCCATTTTTTTACCTTAAAGACTGCTGCCTGAGTGCCTGACTTCCAATCAGCCTGCATCTAAGTGTTGACTGGGGTCCTCCCCTTTGGGACACTGACAGGTCTTGGCTCACCCTCAACTACGGAGAGCTATTTAGATTGATAAGACGAATGAAATCTGGCCATTTGTGACATGTGGATGAACTAGAGGGCATTATGCTGAGTGAAGTAAGTCAGCTAGAGAAAAACAAATACCATATGGTTTCACTTACATATGGAATCTAAAAACAAAAAACAGAGCAGACTCACAGACACAGCAAATAAACTGTTGGTTACCAGAGTGGGGACAGATTGGCAGATGGGTGAAATAGATAAGGGGATTAAGAGGTACAAACTTCTAGTTATAAAATAAATAAGTCATGAGGATATAACAGCCTAGGGAATATACTCAATAATATTGTTACAACTTTGTATGGTGACAGATGGTAACTAGACTTCACATGGGGATCATTTCATAATGTATAAAAATATTGAATCACTATGAGGTAACTAACAGGATACTGAACTTCAAAAAAAAATGGGGTGACAGACTACTCTGTTCATAGATGAACTATACCAACATCAGAAAAGTGTGCCCAGAAAAGAGTCAGCTCTTCATTTGAAATTATCACCTTCTCATATCCATTCATATATGTTGTTGATTGCACTTCTATTATTAGAGAGAGACAAGGTTTTTTTGTTTCAAATGGTAAAACCATACTAACTGAAGGAAAATACTAGAGTCAAGGTTTACAATTGCAAATAGAGCAGCGTCTCCCTTTGGTACTCCCATGGGAGAACAGAAGGGAAGGACTTGTCTGTTATAAATGCCACAGAACATGTGTCACCCTGATTTTCACATGGAAAAAAATTCCAGTAGCCACACAAGTTTGAAATCTAATTATCCTTGGTCTCTGGAAAACCGTGAACAGATTGGCAAACCCCTCAGAGGCTTTCTCTTCACATTCGAATCCTCCTTAGCAACAGAAACATCCCCCTCCTGAGCACACCATGTGGCTGATGATATTCGTCCTCAATGCCCCTCTCCTTCCTTTCCTTCAGTGGAAACCCAGCCAACAGGAAAGGCCAAGATCGAGTCAGAACTTTCTCCACGAAGCCATTCCCGACCACTGCCTGTACCCTTAGCAGATAGCGATTTTTCCTGTATTTCAACTTAAATGTTTCTTGACAATTATTTTTATACTATTTCATGACATTCCTTTCATTTAAGATTTTATATATATATATATGTGTATATATATATACATTGACATGAATTAACTGTAATTTTATATTATTATTGTAATTTTAAATGATAAGATAATGAATAATAATGAAAATTATGTGAAGAATATTCATAGGAAAAAAAATCCTACCAATCATGACACAGATCAAATATAGTGTGTATCTTTTACTTCTTTGTTGTATTTGGAGGAAAACTGATAAACTTAAATGTCTGGGTCATTCTCAATTTATTCTTTAGCTTATTCCCTGTTTCCAAAGGCTGATTATTAACTACCATAAATATTTCTAGATAATATGAAATAATCTGGTAAAAGTCATTAGAGATGGAAATAAACTTTCACTAATTATACCTCTACAATACACTAGATACTTTTTCTGACACTCTCAATTTTCAGAATAACCATATGGATAGGTCATTTTATCCCCTTTTTACATATGAAGAAACTGGGACCCAGAGAAGTTACATTACTTGCAAAATTCACATAGTTTGAAATTGGAAGTGTGAAGATAAACTGTAGCTTATACAGTTCTGACTTCAAAGCTCAAGTCTTTTTCCCATGTCATTTTCACAGACATTTCATAAGCAATCATAAGCTCATGCAAAGTGAACACCTAAAATCTCTCAAATTTTTATTTTTAATTGTTACATTTGTCTTCTTGTAATTATGAAAGAATACCAACACTGATTTTCATTTCATATATGATTTCACTGCATGATTCTAGCAAAAGGCAATTCACAATTTTTATTTGATTAATTTTAGTGGTGAATTATTCTGAACTTGTTTCTTTGCCACCCTCTGATAGACTTCTGATCATGTGTTTGGTGTCTTTATTGACTATTGTACAGGGAAAATTAAGGCAAAAACATAAGTATTACACCAACACTGAAGATAAAAATTTAGAGAAGTCCATACTCTTAAATCCCATTCTCTCTTTGCTTCTCTCCACTAACATTGCCTAAATTGTCAGGAAATATTCTCTTAGATATCAGAAAAGGATCTTCCATGAGAAGATCTAAAAAGAAGGTGCCATCTGGACCTTTCCCTCAGATAAAAACACAAGATCAGCTCTCTAGGGAAGTGGTCTTTTGAGGAGGGTGTCTACCCTTCCATTTTCTTTCCCTGAAGATATTTTTATTTTAACCAAGCAACAGCTAGTTTGTACTGCAGAAAAGATGCTTTAGATGGTAGAACCCAAGTTACTATGGTCTGATTTCAATCTCCTCTAACCTGGACCCTATAGAAGAGGAGCTTCCCAACATTAATCAAATATCAGAGATGATCCAAATTGATAACTGTACTGTGGCTTGGATCTTCTTGTAAAAATCAGCATCTGAATTGATGACATTTTAGTTAAAGAAACCTTACTGGGGAAGAAAGAAAAAAATATATGAGCATCATAATGGTTAAACTTACTGGAGAGAAATGACTTCTGGTAACCATCCTGTGAGGGCATGAATAACTGTGAACTCTCCCAGTTCACTCCTCTCTGCTGGATGGATGCTGAAAAGCAAATGCCCAACAGTACAGTTAATAAAATTTGAAAGCAAATACAGAGAGAGGTATATAAGGAATAGGAATCTCTAATAAATGACAACATAAGAAAAAATGTAGGGGTCATAGTGTTTATACATGATGGTACAAAAAATACTATTCAAACAGCCAGATGACTTCTTCTCTTAAAGCACTCAAATAGATTCAATGATAAAATTTTATGTCTGTTTATACAACATGCTATAAGGTTTATTTTACAATTATTCTTTTAAAAATACAACAGTGTCTTTCATCTTTCTGGTTCCAGTAACTTTTCTAAGATGCCTATGAGGCTATGTGGCAAGGCTGGGTAGCAAGGCTGGGTAGCGAGGCTGGGTAGAGAGGCTGGGTAGTGAGGCTGGGTAGTGAGGCTGGGTAGAGAGGCTGGGTAGTGAGGCTGGGTAGTGAGGCTGGGTAGAGAGGCTGGGTAGTGAGGCTGGGTAGTAAGTCAGTCTCATACATGGCAGGTCAAGATGGGCATCAGACATCACTGATCAAATCCTTAGACTAGACCTGTCTTCAATCTCCTCCACCCTAGGACCCTGGAGAATAGCAGTTTCTCAACATTCATCAAAAATCAGAGATTATCCAAACTGATAACTACTGTGGCTTTGATCATGTAAAAATCAGCATCTTAATTGATGATATGTTCAGATAAATTGATTTTAGAAAACCTAGAAACATATGCTCTGTCCAGTACAAAAGAGTGGAGCTGCCACCATAGCACAAAGTCAAATGGGGTTGTGATTGACCAAATGTTTGTCTTCTCAGTTTAGTCCACTTATTATTGATTTTTTTTTCTAGAGGGATTAGTCTATTTATGTTCACACACATAAATACCAGATCTCTGTTCCATTGAGAAGTCAGATTCAGTGCACCATATGCCACTAGCGGTGATTCACGGTACTGACCAATGTACATACCCCTTTCTTCAGAAAGAAATCTTACTATCTTAGTCACATGTTCCATAATTTATAAATCACATTGGTATGTTTACAAATTATGAATTTTGATGTGTCAACACATCTCAAAGATAATATCTATTGGGGTAGGTCACAGTCAAGTCTAAACTCCTTTTTGGATAATCCTATTTCAGAAGTGACTGTGTAAACCTCATAGAAATAATGCTTTTTCCTTTCCATATCCCCCAGTGATGCTGAAATACTTCCTACATATTATTTTTTTTAAATGTAGATAATGAAAACTCCTGTGACAATAATCATTAGACACTACAAAATCTGAAAAGAATAGATAGACAAATAGAAGTTGTATCATGTAACACAGGTTTTCACTAGAAAGCCTAAGAAATGTCTTACGTATAGTCTGATCCTTGATTTCCAAGCTGGATTTATTTATCTACTTAAAATAACGATAATTCTATTTTACAAGTTTGCTATAACAAAGACAAAATACCACTCCAATTATGCAGGTCATGCATTTATGCTTCACTGGCTTTGCAACTCTAATGCTCAGAACTTCAAGTTATGGCTGAGAATTGGGAACATTAGGAACATTATTTTCTTTCAACATAAGCAAACATAGTTGTCAAAGTGTGAATACTTAATAGTATTCAGCTACCTAAAAAGATCTGGGCTGAGTGTTAAAAGAAATATCTTTGAAATTAAAGGTTGTAAACTGAGGGGAACAAATTCCCAGTAGAAAATTGAGGGTTGGTAAGAGAAAAGAGAGATGAATAGGATGGCAGTAGGAGTGGTTTTTTTTGTTGTGTAGCCTTGGAAGAGAAAAAGGAAGCTGAGCCAAAAGAAAATCCACAAAAAGCAGACCAGCCTTTTGACTGGCATTGCTCTGTTTATAGAAGGGAAGGGGCTGAGCTTTGAGCAAATGACTTAAGTGGTCTGTTAACTGCATGTGGGTGTCTTCTGTTGAAAATGAGATGCTGTGACACACTGTGGGGGGAGGACATCAAATTCAAGCTAGCACATGTATGTGAGAATTCTCTCCTTGAGCAATGACACAAAATTGCCCTGCATTTTGAAGTTCAAGCATCTAAGCTGTTTTGCATTGCTAGGGCCAGGATGGAGGGACCACAGGTCTCTGCAAGTAAAATTTAAGAGAATAAACATAGCCAACATGTCTCATATATGTTGATGCACAAGCCATGTAGGGATATAAGACACAAGCAAATTTCACAAAAACATAGAAGGAAATATGAATAGTTCTCATGTGGTAAAAGAAACCAATGTTACCAAAAGCATGAGAATTACATTGGCATCCTTCGGAGAGTTCAAATTTTCAAGATTAGTAAGTTATTGCTGCATATACACAACCTAAAACTAACTGGATCCCGGTATACAGTATTCAGTATTTAGACAAACCAGTATTTTCCCCTATAAAACAACTTCTTTCTCCCATTAAGCTGAAACATTTTATTTTCCATGATTGACTGACTTTCCATTCACAGTAAAAGAACATTGGATATAGAATAATTTTTTAGTTTTCTTGGGGAAATTTTGCCTTATTACTGGCTCACCCAGTATTTCAAATCAGTGGCTTTGGCATATTCATTCTTATATTATAAAGGTGATGTCGTTTGGAAAGAAAGCTTTTGAAAATTGATATTTAAAAACTGAATCTATGTGATATTGATGTATATTTGTTGTTGTTATTTGCCTGTTTATTTTTATACAAATGAGTTCATCATTCTACATACTTAACATTTGCCAGCTTAATGAGAGCTTTAGACAGAAGCATTGGCCAGAGTTCAAATTCGTAAGTTGTAGCTGGAAGCAATAGATTGTTATCTTCATCAAAAGGTAGGAAGTCATCGATAGTAATCTTTCTCCAGCAACCCTAAAAGTGAGAAGAAAGGAACATAACATCAATGATTTATATTGTTTGCTCTCATACTTTAGTGTACACTGTTGACATTATTATTTACTGTTCTATAATTTTATTTTAGCTTCTTAAATCTAAAGACTGACATTCTGGTTTTCAGTGCTACTCTGGCTGATAATTTTAGCTTACGATTTTATTAAATGTAATCATAGGCCATCCATATGTATATCAATAGTGTCATTATTTATGAGGTCTTGTAAGGACACTCTTGGGTGCCCCACCCTATAAAATGCAGTAAATTAAAGTGTTTCAAGCAGCAGAGCTAAAACATTTTACAACCACGGATAAGTTTGGGAATAGTTAAATTACTTCATACAGCCAAAATGCAAATTCTCCAAATATAATTTCAGTAATTGTTGTTTATCCTGATAGGCTCAGTGATCTTGCACTTCTAGTTACCAAATTACTCCTCCTTGTAATTAAAAATCTATTTTTTAACATGAAGTTAATATTTTGTTTAATAAAATCATTCTATATTTACCTGTATGTATATTAGTTCATGATTAAAAGCTGAGACACATGGTAACATTAATGTTTATGAATTCAAAAGATATTTTTAAATCTTGGTTTCACATGCAAAATTTTATTATGAATTTATTCCTTTGCCCAACAAATATTCCCAGCAGCACTGCAAGCATTGGGAACTCAAAGATCTGCAGAACACATGGCCTAGATCGCTGAACTGCTGTAGTCTAGTGGTGGAGCATACATGCCAGCAATATGAAGTATAATATGTTTAAAGTGCTCTAGGAACAAAAAGGAAAGTATGACTCATTTTGCTTGGTGGAAATCTGCACAAGAAGGTGGCATCTGAACTAAATATTCAGGAACAGTGTACTTTTCCCAGGTAGACAGGAGCAATAGGATGACAAATGTTTTCTTTGTATGACTCTTGCAACTCTAAACCCACATTGCCTTCTTGAATGGTTATATGTATTTTTCTTCCCTGATTGATTATGCAGGGCAAGACAGGGTTAAAGGCACAGGTGTTTTTAGCTACTCCCTCCTCTAATTTCAAATGAAATGACCCAAAAGTATACATAGCGAAATAAGCCAGATACAGAAGGACAAGTATTGTATGATTTTCCTTATATAACATACCTGGAAAAAGCAAATTTATAAAGACCAAAAGTATAATAGAGGTTACCAAGGGCTGGACAGAGAGAGGAATAAGAAGTAATTGCTTAGTGGGTACAGAGTTTCTGTTCAAGATGACAAAAAAGTTGAGGAAACAGATAGTGATGCTGGTTGCACAGCACGGTAAAAATAGTGCCTCTGAATTGTACACTTACAATGGTTAAAGTGCTAAATGTTACACTTATTTTTTTAAAAAGTAGTCATGGGAGGTTCCTTTCTACATTTCAATTTTTTACTAAAAATATTGTTTTTGAAGCAGCTAGCTAGATTCCTAGGAAAGAAAAGTTTTAAGCAGCCTTAAGAATTTAAGTTAAACCAGTTCAACATATATCACCAGTTTCTGGATGATCAATGGACAATACAGTTAAATTAAGGATGCTTTGATGATTGAACACTACTGAAGGGTACAGTTTAAATGGGTGAACTGTATGATACCGTGTTGTATATCAATAAAGCTGTTAAGAGAGTACAAAGGGATGAATGTTCAGTACCACATATCTAAAATATAATTTGACTAGATGTAACAACTTTCTTGGGAATGTTTTTGGTTTGTTGATATTAATATGTTGGTTGCTTGCTTCCTTAAAGTTTATGAAGAAATTTATGAAGGAATGAAAGATCTCATCATAGAACATTGAATTTATTTGAGATGTGATCATAGACCATTGAATCATTTTTACATTTGCTATTCTTTTATTCTTGCATGTAAATGATGTATAGTGGGAGGTTTTTACTGAGTTCACTGTGTTAACACTATGTAATTTTAAATGATAATCAAAATGTTTAATTATTTAGTATGCTTATGAAGAATGATGCCTCTTTTGTTAATGTAACTATAAGTTACTAAAATACTTTAGATTATAATCATGTTCAAATTTTGATATTTTCCACACTTGAATTCCAGGTCAAGTGGACTAAATGACTACTTACATTTTTATCCTCTTCCTTTTATGACCATGCTCAAAGGATAATTTTAAATATTCATTTTTTTAATTAATAGAATAATTCACAATTACAAAAACATCAAGAAAAAGGCATTTGGTAGACAGAGATTTCAGCAAATGCAAAGAGAATTTAGTGAACTTAAAGTTGTCTGATAGAAATTATGAACAACAAGGAAAGAGTATCACATTTAAAAAGTGATATGAGCATCAGGGCCCTGTGAGACAGAGATAAAGATACAGCATTTATATCATTGAAGTACCCCCCCCCCCACTAAAAGAGGGAAAAATGTGGGACTGAAAAAATATGAAATAATGTCTAAAAACTTCCCAAATTTGTCATAAGACATAAACCTACAGATTCAAGGAACAGTATATTCCAAATAGGATAATTCCAAAGAAATCTACACCTGGACACATCAACTTCAAACTTCTGAAAAGTCAATACAAAGAAAAAGTCAGAAAGTAGCTGATGAGAAAAAACTCATTAGTTATAGGGGACAGATTACTCTTCAGAAACCACAGAGGTCAGAAGGAAGGAGCAAACTATGTCTCCAATGGTGAAAATGGTGAAAGAAAAGGCTTGCCAATCCTGAATACTGTACGGAGTGAAAATATTCAGTAGGAATGAGGTGAAATAAAGATATTTTCAAACAGAGGGGAGATAATTTGTCACCAGAAGATCTGGCTCAGAAAGAACAGTGAAGGGAAATTCTACAGAGATTAGAAAAAAAAAAGGAGACTTAAGATCTCAGGAACTAAGAAAGAGCAAAGGAAAGGTTAAACATAATGGCTAAATATGCTAGAATATTCTTAGCCTCTTGAGTTTTTAAAAAATTTGACATTTAAAAGCAACATTTATCATGAGGCTCTCAATATGTGTAAAGGACATATTTTTGACAACCACACTATAAAAGGAAAGGTGTGAAGGTGCCTAAATGGTGGAAAAGCATCCATTTTCCAGTGTAAGTGGTAAAATGTTGATATTTCTAGACTGTAATAAGCTATATATGTCTATCTTAATTCCTACAGCAAACACTAGAAAAAAATACATATATAGAGATATACTAAAAATCACTAGAGATTAAATAAAAATGGAATTCTAAGGAATTTTTAAGAAACACACAGGAGGACTGGAAAAGGAAAATAGACAAAAAACAAATAACAGAAGTGACAGAGTACACAAATAACAAAATGACAGACTTAAGTCCCCATTACAGCAAATATAAATTACAACACAAATTAAAATGCAAGAGTAACTTGGATATATTTATAAAAATTAAGAATTTGTATATACTTTGAAAAATTTCACATGTAGAATTCCTGGAAAAAATAGTCATGCAAACAGGCAAAAATGTATATACAAAGATGTTACTTTATAGTATTGTTTTTACTGATACAACACTGGTCATAACCTAAATGTCTATCAATATGAAACTAGAAAAATATGTATAGTTATTGTTACATTCAAACAATGGAATATAAGGTTAATCAATATATGTTAGCCTAAATAATGCCCAAGTTTGGTGGAAAAAATACAGAACAATAAGTACCATATGATACTATTGTTGCTATAAATTACATATAATAGATTTACATATGTTTATAAGAAAAAGTTTAGGAGGATATACATAAATCATTTGCTGTGATTGTCCATGTAGGTAGAATCATAGTGAACTTTCTTTCATTTTAATAGTGTTTGAATTTGTTTTACTGAAAACAATAAAATAATAAAAATAATGAAATAAGAATAAAAACATTTCCATTTGGAAAACATCATTGAATGATAGAAAAATAATTTGTCATGACATGTATCTTTTAAACACTGTTCCTCAAATAAAAACCCTATTTTAGATGATCAGGAAGTAACATACCTTCTTTACCTTTATTTTCCCATGTAATGACCTTAAGAATTCCTAAGCATTGGCCTTTCAATATTCCCTATCCCAGGAAGATAGATTGCTCAGGCTCATTAAGGACAAAGTCACATAGAATGTGATGACTAAGTTTTCATACTTTCCCCACTCCTTGAAATGTTCAAGAACATTCTTTCCCAGTGACTAGGACCGGGTTACTGGGTGTTTGACCTGTATAGTCACATGGGATCCCACACTTAAAAGGACTGTGTGCTTGGTTTAAAGAGCCGCGATTACTGTCTTGAAATTCCTAATAGTTTTTGAACAAGGGGTGCCTCAAATCATGTGCCTGGTCCTGCCTGTGCTCTGGGCTTTTAGAAAGAGCATCCCACCTATGAAAACCAGAGGTATTTAACAGAATCTCGCATTGTTAAATGTGGTGTGAGTCTACTTTACCATATTAACTAAGGGGTTTTTAACTCATGATTTCTCCCTACTACTATATCATTTCCTTAGGCAGAGGTGAAAACTTGTTAACATGAAAACAAATGTCAAGTTTAGGACAAAGATGGGATCAGGACCCTCAGCAGCAGCAAAAGCGAGGAAAGAAGGAGCAGATGCCATTCAAAACTCCCTTCTGCCCATGAGCCTGACGCCACATCCTCGAGGAGGAGAAAGAGTGGGCCCTGCCCACTGCCCTGCCACCCTGGCCAGCGGCCTGCGAGAACAGAGGCTGCAAAGGACCCTCCTCGGGTACTGGGCAGCATCATTTTAAAAAGCACGTGGGACTGACATCAAGGGAGAAACAAAGGTGTTTCTTATTGATCCCAATTTACGTATGCAGGACTTTTTTTCTGAGTAACTACACAATTGACACTCTGTATAACATCATCTCCTATCGGCCTAGGTAATGGCATATAAGAAAGATGTATTTCAATATGAAAGACAGGTGAATTTTTAGTGCACATGAAAGTGAACTCACCATCCAGTAAAGTTTCACCACATACTTTCCATAGCTATTGAACAAAGGCATATGACCCTTCACAGCCTTGCACAGGGAGTATATGTGTTCCCAGGGCTTCCAAATGAGAAGAGGAGTTTCTCCTGAAGTGCTTTTAAAATAATTACTCAAAACATCCCCATTGGATATCTTCCACACTGCATAAATTTCGCTGATAATCCATCTCATCAGCTAGAGGCAAAAAACATTAGCGTCAATTAGTTATTTTTCAGTTGTCAGTTCTGTAATTTAGGGGGAAAGCCAGTCAAAAATCTACTTTTAACAGTAAAACTCTCACTTGCAGTGTTTTTAAGAGACAGCAAGGCATGGCAGGGAGTTAAGCTTCAGAGTAAAAATAGGTAACAGGATTTGAATTCTTTTTCAGATTCTTCTGTTCTTGGGCATGTCATTTCAGCCCCCCTAATTGCAGTTTTTCATCTGTAAAATGTAGATTATACTATTTTTCAGCATTTTTGTAAGCAATAGAAATAATGTATATGAAATCTCTGCATCACAGTGGGTGTTAAGTAAAGCTATTATTACCTTCAGTGTTATTGGAGTGTCTGAAATATCTCATGGTTTACTGCCTGGCTTAGAAGATTAAGTACTTGAGACTAACCTCATACGATTTAGTTTTTTTTTAATTTCCATGATCTAGGAAATTTCTTCAAGTTTGGTTAAGTTGGAAGGAGAACTCAGGTACTTTCCTGTATATCTAGAAATTTCATGAAAATATTTTTTAACTTTCCTTCCCTTGAAAGATGAAACCTAATATATATATATATGCTTTGGATTCATAAAATAAGCATATTTTAGTCTAAAATATAAAGTATAAAACAATTCAGAGATAACTTTATACTAATCAGTACAACCTAGTTGAAGAAATAAATGTTTTGATTTTAATACTGATCAAGACATAGAGGTAAGAGGGACAAAATGTTTGAATCAGTAATGAGCGCTGATCGTGACTGGGTCTTAGGAGAACATCATCAAAAACTCCTGTTCCTGGTGTAACTACCTTAGGAACATGGAACGGGCGGGCTTCTGATGGCTAAAACCCCGGGAGGAGAGAAGGGGAGGTGCTCCCCACCCCAACAGGAAGTAAGCCTGCAGTGCTAAAAATCTGAATTGTTTAGATGAGATGTTGCCAGAGAACTTCATCTGATGATTTCCTTTCATTAGCAAGTCAAATAACATGAGGACACGCTGCTCCTGGCCACAGTTTAGGGCAAGGCAGCAACTTCCTATCAATTTCTATGCCCCCGGATCCAGAGAAATGCCCACCATTTATCCTGGGGCCCTGTGGGCAAGAGAGTAGGGGCAGGAGCAGAGTTCACACTAACATTTCCCACCATTTTCTCACTAAACTCACTTACAGAGGCTTCTGTTCCCCTTTGAGTGTCTGGTGTGTGTTACACCAAAACTTAAAGGTGAGCAAGGGAGAGCGGAGCTTGGCTGTCCGGGAATTCCAGCTGGTACGGGAGGCGTTCTGCAAGGCGGGGCTCTAGTTCATACTTCCCCACATACCTCACTGCGGAGTAGGTGTTCGTTTGCTGAAAACAAGTCAAAGAGGGTTTCATTTTCCACAACTACTGGAGCCTGAGATAAACAAAAATAAATAAATAAAAAGAGCTATTACTCCTTAAGAAAAGAAAGGAAATGTAGCTTAGTGAAATAAAGTTTTGTATGCTGTAAACAGACCAAACCTGATTTCATTTCTCACAACAAGAAAAATTAAAAAAAAATGTGTATGAATTAGAAAAAGAAAAAAAGCACCCAAAAAATAATCTTGTTAGAGCTATAGGCACATTAATTTCATAATGTAATACTGATAAAATACAGTATATTAATATAAAAATGATATAAGATACATGCAGGTAAACAGCATGCATACACACAAAAACTGACTTTAAAAGGTGATTTGGAATTTAACCACTCAAGTTAAACTTGACGTTTAGTTAACAGTTAACAGATGGAAAATTATCTATATCTTGGCTAAATATTAGCTGGGATAGCTTTTTAAAATCTTGTCCAATTTTAAATCGTCATTAAAAAAATAATTTGATGGTTATCATTTAATTGGCATATAGCTTAAGTTGTTTTTAGACGACCAAGGAATAAAGATAATGGGAAAAAATATGACTTGTAACAGTTTAAAAACATTAGTTACAATTCATTACAGCTTATTTATTTAACATATCAAATTAACATAAAAATGGTCTTGCTTAATGACATAGACTTAGGGAAACTAATGCCATCAATTACTATGAATCAGAAGTACAACTAGCATCTTGAAAACTCGATAAAATACTTTTTTTATGTCTGAGAAAAATCTAGTTAAGACTACCTTGAAAGCCTGACATTGATTCTTGTGTTTAATTTATAAATATTAAATTTTATATATAATAATATATAAAGTTTTATATATGTGAAATTCTGGTTTGACTGATTGCAAGGCAAAACTTCTAAAATGCCATACCTTTCAGCAAGTACCAATGTGCATTAAAATTCATTGATTATAGATTAAGTAAGTATTGATTACCTAAAGTTTGAGGGGTTAGAATTAGTAGTCATCTGCTGACAAAAGAAAAAGAAGAATTGACAGTTTGTAAAAGACAACAGATATTAAGGCAGAAATCTGTACAATGGCTTGTTAGCAACTCTATCTGCTGTACTTTAACCTGGTGTACAATAAATCTTTAGACATCTTCTATCTGTTCAATATAATCAATACTCAAGGGCCTGGGCCATCAGTATCTGTTTCTCACTCTGTGATCAGGGCTTCTTAACCTCCTTGCTTGGAATGGTCCATGTTGACTCTGATATTTTAAATCCAGGTTTTTAAGCTTTTTAATACCTTAGCTGCTCTCTGATTTAAATCATGTCCTCTGACTTCATCTTTTGCTTATATCATGGGGCATGTTTCTAGGCAGGACTTTACTTTTTAAACTGTGAGTTGAATAATTTAGTGATTCAGGAAATCATTTTAATGGGTCAGGACTATATATACACACACACGCACACACACATATACCTATATGTATTAGAATATACATATATAAATACATATATGTATATATGAACTAAATATATATAGAGAGAAGTTATTCTTTATTCTATTTGGAGTATGGAATAGAATAGAGTAAATCTCACCTAGAAAGATTATTCAATTTTGCACAAGTTTTGTCTGAACTATATATATGTTAATATTTAATGAGTCTCAGTATAAAATGTACTTCTCACTGTGGACTTAGATAGTAAAACTTGGAAAACACTATTCTAAGACTTTCCTACTGGGATAGACTTTCTGTTCTGACTGTTCTGTTCTATATGCCAAGAGGAGTCAGTGGAGAAGGGGAGTAGAGGTTCTGAGATGGATGGCAGCATTATGATAGATGTAGGTGAAACTGTTGTCAACAGCAATGAATGAATTTATTTTTAGCACAAGTGTATCTCTGAGAATTAAGTTATGCTAGAAAGAAAAATTTTCATTTTTATCCAAATTTGAAACATTCCCACTTTGTAGAATTAATATCCTTTATTTGCATGGGATGTATACTCTGCCCTTATATTGAATAGAGCCTGAATATTATTAATAATATCTTAATATTAAATGCATTCTATTAACATCACACAATTTACATCTTTATGTCAATTTCACCTGAAATTATAAGTAATTTAAAGATGTGATTCATATATATTTAATGTCTTTTATTTAAAATGTCTTACAAGTAGGCCTTCAGTAAGTTGATGGACAGAGATGCATCTTCTTGTTTTCTCATTTTATGAAATATTTTTGAAATTAGAATTACCTTTCTCAACTAGTAAGAGTAATTGGAAAATATGATGGACAAATTGTATTTTCTTGCATTAGTATTAGTGATTATACAAACTACAACATTTAGGAATAAAATTACTTTATGTAGAAACAGAGAGTCAATAGATTCCATAATGTATGAAAGAATCAGCTCCATTACAACCATTCAACTAGCACTAAACAACTTATTTAGCCTACTGGTTTTCCATGCATTAAATAAAAATAATAGGAGATTCAAGAAGGGAAAAAGGCATTAGTGATAATTAAACCCCTGGAAATAGCAGATATATTCAAACTAACATAGCTACTAGGAAGAAAGACCAGTGCATATAAAGTTTTAGAGTATATAAGTAAGTCCTATTTAAAGTGATGGTTTCCTGGGCAGTGTCCCAGTCAATGTTCAAGTGGCTGGGCCTGGGGTCCAGAAATGAAAGTGGCCCTTGGAATATGTTTCAGGAATCTCTAGAAGAGAGATCCAAGTGCAAATCTCTTGGGCTGGAAAATTGATGCTAATGAACACTAGAGTAAGCAGACCTTCATACCACGTAAGTTCCCCACTAAGAAGCAGAAAGAAAAAAGAAATTCTGTCAGTTAGTAATTAAGGAATCAATTCACACACATTTTAAGCTACAATTCAACATCATGGAGAAAAGTCAAGAGTCTAAACAACATAATATCCTCTTGGAAACCAGAATAAGAAATATCAAACTATACTGATAAACATTTATTTCTTAGTTTAAATGCCAAAAAGTAATTACTCTTTCTTACAAGAAAAAAATTACTCTAAGCTGATTTAAAAATGCAAATTTTCATAACTAAGATATTATATCCCATAGTTAATATGTATTCTGTTTAACAGAAAAAGTATTTCTTACCCGATTAATTAAAAAATCCTGTGGACGTTTCCAGGAATGAATTTTCAATGATGGTGGTAGTTCAATCTTTCCTTCAGGGTCTTCAAAGAAATGCTATATAAAAATATATTCAGATTTTTATTCCATATGGTTTAATTAGCATAAAATAAACTCAATCCTAGTAAAAATTTAGTGCATAGATTTGACTAACAAATATTCATTTATAGAGCAAATTGCATATTTATTCTTAAAGCTAGTTCACAGAGTAACTGGAGAATACTGAAATTAACAATATTAAATTTAATTAACAAAACCTTGGTTGTAGAGTAGTGTTTTGATTGCAGAGGATGCAGTCCAAACAAGCAAGAGTTGCTTCAGAAAGTAAATTAGGTATGGTGGGAAAACAATTTCAATGGCCATATTTTCCACGAAAATATTGTTTATATGAGTAGAGAAGACTGAAAATATTAACTTAATTTTCAGCTGTTAGAATCATAAACAGGATTATATGTAAATGAAATCTGTACCTTTGATCTGACTTTCATTTATTACTTTTTTTAATTAAACTTGTAATTTTGAAATAATTGTAGATTCACATGCCATCTAATGAAATAATATGGAGAGTTCCTGGGGTCGTTTACCCAATTTCTCCAATGGCAACATCTTGAAAACTATACTACAATGTCACAGTCAGGATATTGACATTGACACAGTTGAGATACAGAATAGTTCTAGGAACACAAGGATCCTTCCTACACCCCTTTATAATCACACACCCTCCAACTCTCCTACCACCTGTTTAAGCCCTACTATCTGGCAATCACTAATCTGGTCTTGATTTTACAATGTTGTCATTTCAATAATGTTATATGAATGGAATCATAAGTATATAAACTGTTGGATTGGTTTTTCTCTCTAATTCCTTGAAGATTCAATTTAATCAAGTTGTTGCAGTTAGCAATAGTTTATTTCTGAGTAATATTTCATGATATAGATATTCATTTATTTACCATCCACCCATTGAAAAAGATTTGGGCTGTTTCCATTTTGGGGCCATTATAAAGCTGCTTTCAACATTTGCATACAGGTTACAGATTTTTGTGTGAATGTGAGTTTACATTTCCCTGGGATAAATGCCCAGGAATGCAATTAGTTCATTAATTTTTGAGCCCCTCATATGGGTCACTTAGTGACCTCTGGAGAAAGATGATATCTACTCTTAAATGTTAGCAATCTAGTAAATCAGAGAGATATCAGGTAGCTACTATGTAAAATTCTCACAGCTCATAAAGTACTCAGTGGGGGGAAGGGGGTTCCTTTCAAAAAGGACCATGAGAATTGTTGAGAGTACAAACAAAAAGCTTGAAGAATATATGGAGAAAAAATGGGTAACTGCATTTCACCTGTTAATGGGGAAAGGCGCAAAAAAGTAGTTTTGTAATGTTCATGGCAGTCATGTTTTAATCTTAATGTTGGTGTGACTTGAGAAATTGGTCATATTTGAGGGCATTGCTTGAGCTTTAAACATAATAACTGTGTATGTGTATCTAGATCATGTGGCTTATTGTCACATTTAAGATACTGGAATAATTTGAATGAAGACAAAGGAAACCTCAACATCTAGTTAAAATGATAAAAGAATGAGGTTTTGAAAAAATAGACTGAGGTTTTCAGGAGCTGTATTAGACTTCTGGGGTGCACTCACATCACTTTTTCCTTACAAATATTAATTTGGTTATTTTAAAGCCCCCTATCTGACAATACCCAAATCAGAGTCACCTGTAGGTCTGTTTCTATTGTCTGATTTTTCCTCTTGTTTTTCAGTCACTTGGTTCTGTTTCTCTTCATGTCTGGTAAATTTTGGTTTTATTTGTATAAAAATTTATACAAGCTATGAGCAATGATGTCTTCCTCCATCCAGGAGCATTTCATTCCCTCCTGTCAGGCTAAGTAGGAGATGAACTTGACCCAGTTAACCTTGGGTCTCCCAATTTGACAGGGCTAGCACAATCTTGGTTTGCCCTTACTCAATACAGAATGCTGTAGCTGTTGTTGGGCTACTGACTGAAAAGCTAGAGTATTTATCAGGGTCCCTTCACTTTGGTGTAGCCTAAATTCTAATCTCTTGCCACAGCATCATGAAATCTTTGCTCAGTTATTTAACTTCCAAGGTGCTGCTTTTTACTCATTTGCTTAGCAGCAAAAGCTTCACACACATAGCTTAGGCTTGGGCAAATGTTCCAAAATAAAATTTTATGCAAAATTTTCAGATCATTTCTCTGTAGTTACTGCCGGGATTTTGGTTCAAGTTCTGGCTGCTTTGGCAGCTCCTGATAATATCTTATCTCCCTCAGCCCACAGAAACCGACACAAGCCCTAGCTACTACATTCTGCTTGGCCTCTAATATCTATACTTTGAATTAACAAATTTCCTTGTGATAAAAGACAAGGTGAATGTGGGGCTCATCCTGGTGTGATTCCCTATTCTCACATTAAGTGAATGGTAATCTTTCAATGTCATTTTGTTTTAGATATATTTCTTAATATCACCTTACAGTATTTTATCACATACTTCTCAGTTTGGTTCACCCATCATGTCCTTTGTCACCTTTACTCTGAACTTATAGGGAAATGTTATAAATCTGAGGCTGAAGTGGTCTTTTATGAAGTTCCAAGGATACCTCCTGTAATTGGATGATGCTTAAGACAACTCTGGTAAAATACGGATGTTGCAAATCATGGCTAAGAGCTACTGTGCCACCATATCATAGAAATGTAATCATAAGGCTTGGAATGTCCACCACTCACTTGAGTGAAGGAACCCTAAGCCTGAATACTGAAGGTGTGAAGCAGAACTGGGGTGGAAGCAAGGTTCAGCCCCAGATGGTACCACTTTGCACTGTTGTGATATTCAGGGTTTGAGCTGGTCCTCTTCTGACATGGTGAAAGCGGTGGTGGCAGAATGGAGTGTTTATGATGCTCTGAGTTATCACATCCCATTGGAATAGCCCCTGTTCACAGCAGAAGTAGGGTTGATGTTCCTTAATCATGCAGTTTTATACAGCTCCTTAGTCCAAGTGCTGCAGTAACTACTTTGGGGTCTGATGTCCAGAAAATAACATTCCTATATGTTGCCCCTAAATGAAATGGGCATCAAATGAACAGCACACTCGTTATTGCTCCAGTCTCAGTGGTTTTTCGCCAGTAAATGTTCTTCCAACAGCCTTGCTCTTGTTTTGTAAGACTGATAATTTCCAGGATTTGATACCTAAGCTTCTACAGACCAGCAAGATGCTTTTACAGCTGTCTGATAAGGGCCTGCTTCTGCTCCAAGGTCTCTGTAATGCTGTATTTCATATCCTATTTCAAAGTGTTCAGGCACTTCTCTGCTCTTCCCTATCCTGTTGTCTCTTCACACTGTGGGGTGGCTCATCTCTAGATCTTCTCCAGCTCCCAACTGAGGATCTGCACAATCTGTCATTCTGACGTAAATTCACACACAATCACCATGTTTTGAATTGCATTTTTTAAAATATGTAGAATAAGACCATTTTCGACTGAACCCAGAGAGTTCAAAAGCCCTTTGTATCTAAAAATTCCATAATCACTATAGGTATGGTACAAAGAATGCATTCCTACACAAGTTGCTAACTTGAAATTGTTCAAGTGGTAACAGAGTCAGAAATTAGTTATATTTATTAATATCTTTTGTAAACAAATTATGGATATGAATCATGCAGTTTGTGACTACATTTTGTGAACAAAATGTAATTGCTAATAAGTACCATTTCAGAGTGTTCCATGCAAATAAAGACACCAGAGTTCAAACCTAGTCATTCTGGTAATTGTGTTTGTGTTTTGAAAATTGTATTGTGTTCTATAAATATTTTTGTAAATGAATTGGTGCACTACATAAGTGGGTCATATTGAAAATGCAACCTAGATTCATGTGCTCAACAAAGAAGTCTTTAGAAATAGAGGAAACATTTTTTTTTAATGTGCAAAAGAACCTAAAATAATATAGTTGGAAAACGTAGGAACCTCATACTCAGACCCAATCTCAGGGACGTATGTTTAAATGGCCATAGGTAAACGAAGTGTAACCTAAACCTTTACCGAAGTATCTTGGCTTGGTATTAACAGAGATTTAAATCTTACTTCACAGTAACACCTCTTCTAAAAAACCACTTTTTTAAAATATATAATCTCCAGATAACAGCTCACAGGTCCACTGAGTTCTCTCATTTTCTAAATGACTATCTCTAAATGCCTGGTTCCCAAACTCTGTCCAAAATCCACTAGCTAACCTGGTCTATCAGTTTTCCCTTTATTTCATTATGAGTCTTTGCTCGGTCATCTCTCTCCTTTCACTGATGCAAATATAATCCATCAAAGCTCAGGTCTAAGGCTTGGAAAGAGATCAGGTGGGCAAAACCAAAATTTCTCTTTTGAAGGGAGGCTGTGGAGAAGAGTAACACACCCAAACCTTACTCCATTATAAAATTAAAAACCAAAATGAAAACTAGTCACTTACAAATACTGGGCTTTTTCCCATTTTGTCCTTTTCTTTTCCAGCTTTGCCTGCATCCCACTTTTCTGCATTTACGTCAGCTTCACTCCATTCTGGCCAGATGGGGAATTTCCCCTTCCTCTGTTCACCGGAAACAGGCTGTACCTTACCGCCTATAGGATACTGACTAGAGACAGTCAGGGGTGGGGGGAAGGGGAGAGGTGGGTTACTTTTAATTCAAATCTCTGAAGGAAAACACTGGATTAAGTGCAAAGCATAAATTTATCTTGTCATCAGTCATGTTAATACACTTTTCAATACAGTCATACCTGTGGCCAGACAGCTTCCACCTGTTAGGGTTCTAAGGACTGCCATACCCAAAAAGGACTATTCCATAAGCACATTTTGAGCATTAGCCCCTACTTACTAATGCGGGACATTTATCATGAATGCTTAAGATGCCATAAAGGGGACATTTATACATTCACACTTAAAGAAGTGCAAGTGAATGAGGTCATTATTTTAAAAGAAATTAAAAATCCAAATCAAATAAATAAGAAAGGCAGATCTACCTATTTCATTCTAGAAACTACATGGTTTAAGGAGTCCAATCTCTCAGATTACTGCACAAGGATACAGCTCTTCAAAAATAACATCATCCTGACATTCTCTATTACAAACTGTTTTCCATTTATCAGTATATTGTTAATAGTTCCCATATCAATATGTATTTATCTAAATATGAATTTAATGATTGTATAATAGCCATTGTATGAATACACTGCCTTTCATTTAACTAATTCTATATTTAGAAATTTGAGGGTTTGATTTTTAAAACTTTCACTATTATAAACAAGACTTTGATGGCTACCCTTGTTGCCAAATCTTTACATACATTATTATTTCCTTGGGATCAATTTTAATAAGGAGACTTACTATACTAAAAAACATGCATATTTAAAATTTGTTGATATATTTGACTAATTTTCTATAGAAAAGTTCAACTTGTTTTGTACTATTGTTATTAGTATGTTGCAATTTCATATCTATAAACCTTGGCTTTTACTTTTTCTTCATGTTTATGAATTTTAAAGTCTACAATAGACATTTTGTTTAATTTTTCAAGTTTTCACTACATGTGAAACTGGAACTCTGCTCTAGATCTGGGGTTAAATAGTGAACAAACCAGATAAAATCTCTTTCCTTAAAGAGACAAGTTCTAGTGGATGGAGATACAAAATAACAACATAAGTAAAATAAATAGTATATTAGAAAGTGAAAAATGCTGAGGGGAAATATAAAATAGAAAGGGGGGAACTGAAGAGATAAGGTACACAATTTTAATATAGTTGTTAATGAAAACATTCTATATTATGGTAATATTTAAGTAAATACAAGAAAATAAGGGATCAAGCTATTTGACAGAAAGCATGTCTGGACGCAGGAAACAATAATTAAAAACAGCAAGAGAGAATATTCCAGATGCAGAGAGCATCCTGGTTTATTTGAAGAAAAATAAGGAAGTCAGTGTGGCTGAAATGGGAGTAAAAAAATAATCTTCAATAAGAATAATAAAGACATTAATGTGGCTGAGGTGGGGTAAAGACATGATTTCAGAGAGGTGACGGAGATGCAAAGATTGTTAAGGTGACCGACCTCAGAGCAAGGACATTGCTTTTAGTCTGAGTGAGGTGGGAAGCAAAAGGGTCTGAGCAGGGCTCTAATATGACATGAGTAAAGTTTTGTGATCGTTTTTGCAGCTATGTTGAAAGATGACTAAAGGAGACAAGAGAGGCAATTTCAGAAGTGCTGAAATAACAGGTGGGAGCTAATGGTGGTTTTGAACCAAGCCGGTAACAACAGAGGAGGCAAGGAATAGATGCCATGATTATTTTTAAGGTAGAGCAAGTAGATTGCATTTATACTTCCTGAAAGACAGAAGACTGGGATGGACAAAACTTCACTTGTGAATGAGTTGTTTTAGATGTTTATCATACTTTCATGGAGAGGCTGAATATGCATTAGAGAATTCTGAGGTTTGAAAGAATTAGACTAAAAGTGAAAATTTGAGAGTCATCGGTGTTTAAATGATATTTAAAGTTTCAAGACTGAATGAAATCACCATGAAAATGATTACATAAGGAAGAGGCATTTCCAGAAATGCTCATCAAAACCCCTAACAACTAACCGGTAAGGAATGATCACTGACCAATCTAAGTGGCCCCTGGCCACAGTGCTGGGTCAGCATCTCAAAGCCTCCAGTTAAGTGAGATATTAATTCTTTGCTTTAAATAGTAGGGCCAGGGGTGTAAGGTTTCAGGGTCAGTCAATGACCCAGGAAAGGAGACAGAAATGTCTAGAGCTACTCAACAACAAATATAAAAATATCTGAATATTCTAACAGTCAGTACATCTGTATAACTACCCTGGCACTCCATGTTACAAGTCAGAGGGAGTAAGGAGAAAATAGAAAAGTAGTCAGTAAGTGTGATAGAACAATGCCCCCACCCACAAGTATCTTCACATCCTAATCTAGTAGGTATGTTGCCTTCCATTGCCAAAGAGGGTTTGGAGTTATCTTTAAATTTATTGCCTTCAGATGGGAGGATTATGTTGGATTATCTGGCTGGCCCAGTGTAGTCCCAAGAGTCTTCAAGAGTGAAAGGAGACAGAGGCAGTCAGAGGGAGATCTGACTCCTGCAGAACGGACAGAGAAATGAAAATTTGCTGGTTTTAAAGACAGAGGAGGCCACAAGCCAAGGGAGGTGGGCAGCTTTTAGAAGCTGAAAGCAGCAAGGAAATGGATTCTCTCCGTGGGCCTCCAGAAAGGACCGTAGCCCTACTGACACCTTGATATTAGCTCAGTGAGACCTGTTCTGGATTTCTGACCTCCAGAATTGCAAAATAATAAATTCATATTGTTTTAAACCACTATGTGTTTGTGGTATTTTTTTGTCAAGTGATAAGAAACAGTGAGGTAAAAAAAAAAAAAAACACAGTAGAGGGTAATTAATGCCTTGGAAGCCTCGTAAAGCAATTTCTTTTTCCAAAAAATGAAAAGTGAGCAACATATCAAAATGCTGCTAATAGACCGAACAAGGTAAAATATAAACAAATAAATGTTGGACTTAGGAAGTTTCTGGTCTCTCTCAAAGTTCACCCTCTGGGGGTGGGGATGGGAGGGACTTTCTTGAATACCCTAACACAGCAAGCCTCACTTCTCTGCATCCTTTGATATTGCTTCATTTTATAGCACTGGATTATTCTCCCACTAATGCTTTATTTATGTGCTTGTTGTGTGTTTCCACAAACAGGGTTTGTAAGGGACATTGGGATTTTTGTTCACTCCCTCTGTCCCTAGCAACTGGAACAGTGCCTGAATAACAGGCAATTTATCTGCCTCTCTGTCATTCATTTATATGAAATAAAAGAATGAATATCTTTATTTTATATTTCTATCATTTTTAATTACAACTGCTTCACATTTTACTTATAGGCAGAGATCAACCAGATGCTCACCCATCCGAATTTCCATTTCCCATACTCCTGTGCACTTTGGCTTGTACTTTGTGATAGGTATTTGAAAATAGCATGTGGGAAATGCACTGAATATCACCTTTAGGCTCATAAAACACTCTGTGAGATATTTCTCACTCTTCCTGCTTGATGCATGACTCAATCGTTAGGAGAAGACCTTGGAAAATGGCAATACCTCAAGATGGAAGGAGCCAAGAACTCTTATTTAGCCCATGCAAAGCCACCGCTAAACTGATCACACTCACGTATGAATGAGAAATGCCCTTGGCTGTGTGCGGTCACTGCAGTTTGGAGGCTGTTTCATGTTGTTCTGATATATAACAATATAGGAAGCATTGATTACTTCCTACTTGCTATTCTGATATTGTAGCATTGATTACTAGCATTGACTAATATAAATTGTGTAATTTTTTTCTTAGGATTTGGATTTCTTCTTTTATATCTTTAATCTTTATAAAAATAAACATGGTAAATCACTTGTAGACTATTTTTCTATTGTCTTAAATTTGTGGTGCTTAATTCTTTTGTTTGTTGTGACTGCTGCCTATCTTTTGTATACTCTTGCATTATAGAACACTTATTATGAGCTCATCCTTACAGGGGTTTTCTTTCCCTTTAATCTCCTTCCTGTTGGGCAATCCTATATTGAAAGAATGTTCTTCCATTGTAATATTGTTTTCTTCTTTCAGAGAACGCCAATGAATAAACCATCCAGGAACCCAAAGGTACATTAAAAATCAGATCTCAAACCTATATAAGTCTCAGTCCAAGGGTGTCATTTTTAAGGTAAAAAAATTTTTTTTTCAGTCAGACATCAAGGAGAGAAAAGTTAGCTTTCTTATAATCTCTCTGTGTTTGGGTGGATTTTCTCACTCACCTTTTTAAAGAGAATTAAACTCTTGGAAATTCATACCTTGTCTAAAGTTGTAGCACTATTTCCTCATTTGGACTTAAGACCTTGCCCTATATATGTTAAAACAAAAGATAAACCTTCCCAGAGAAGCAATACCTTCAGCTCAGAGACATGACTTTCTGACCTTCAGTTCACTCCTCATTTCTGGATCCTGAAAATTTTTATTTCTTTATAAAAGCATCTCTAGACTTTTTTTTTTTTTTAGTCTTACTCCACCATCTTGCTGGGAAAGTCTGAGAATACATACATTGTAAAGGGGTGTTCTTAAGTAGCATAAAGAAAATACAAGAAGGGTGACTAAGATAGTTTTCAAGGAAAAAGGAAAACTTTTCATAAAATCAATAGAAAATCAAGGCAAAAAATAGTATATTAGAGCACCTGTGCTTTATTGAATGTTGGTACAACCTTACAGATAAAAAGAAATTGGTGACATTTTATCCATCAAAACCATAACAAAATTACCTCATTCAGGAAACTCAAAATCTTAAAATCTCTTTTTATAAGAGGAAGATCTAACTTCTTAAAAAATAGAGGCTCTGCTGAGATTATGTTTTGCTTTCCTCTTCATTCTGTCAATTGTAAGTAAATGTTCTGGATCCTCTTAAACTCTTAAGCTTTATCACTCATTGGCCTATTTTCCTTGTAACATGTTAAATTTATTCCCATCTATATTTTGAAGATCATTTAAAAAGAGTCTCATTAGAAGAATTTTATACCAGCCCAATAGCTCTCCTATA